AATAACTCGACTCCAGCGCCACTTGGCGTTTTAAGTTGTGAACCTAAACCATACAAGGACTATAGGACGAAAATTTTATTTAAATCATTTCGGTCGTTTAGGAGGAGTTCACTCGAAAACACACGTACCAAAGAATTATATATGTACTTATTTATAGATAGGTAGAAGTTTCAGTATGTTTGGAAGGCGCGACGCCCTCTTTACGAATAGGCCCCACTTTTCTCCAAGAGTACGGGATTGATTTCCAAACCTTCATATCAAGGTCCACGACTACCACAAATGCTTCCAGAAATATGCGGTGGCTATAACCAAACAAGCCATTTAAAAAAAATCGGTACAGCCGTTCGCGAGATCACTTCTTACAAAAGGGTGGCACTTCTCTTAATATAATTGGAATAGATAATAAGCATAGATAAATAGCCAATACCCGCTTGCTTTGCTATTCTATATAATAGATCGGTCCCTGGTCCACCTATAAGAAAAAAATATCCTATATGTTAAACCAGGCAGTAAGTTGCCCAAGCGCCGAATTTCAAACAAAACGGAACATAGAAGAAAAAATGGATCCTATATATTAATCTAGGAAAAGGCTACCTACGTACTAAATTTCAAGCAAATCGGACGATAAATAAAACATTTTCGAATAGATCGGTCTCTGGTCCACTTCACGGAAAAAAAGAATATATATGCTAATCTAAGCAAAAAGCTACCTACGTACCAAATTTTGAGCAAATGGTCCATAAATACGATTTTTTCGAATAGATCGGTCCCTGGTCCAATTCTCGGAAAAAATGACCCTATATGCTAATCCCGGCAAAAAGCTACCTACGTACCGAATTTTAGGCAAATCGGACCATAAATACTTTTTTTTCGAATGGATCAGTCCCTGGTTCACCTACCTAAAACATGGTGCTTGCTGAAAGCTATTTACATACAAAATTTCATGAAAATCGGACCAGCCGTTCGCGAGATTACCTGTTACAAACAAATTTATATCATTAGTACAGATAGTACAGATAGTATAGATAAGCTCTATTTCAAGGTACCTGTCAGACAGGGTCAGGTAAAAGTAAACATACGAAAATGGCTTATCATACTTCAGCTCTTTAGTTGCTCCCTAGGCAAACCGACTGCTCACCACCGTTGTGCTAATGTTTGCAGGCTTTAAAAATACTCAACTACGGCAATCCTCACTTTCTTTGAAGTGCACTTAAATATGAAATCCTTTTTTCTTCACAAATGGTATGCAATCTTAAGGCTTTTCGTTCCGTGAACTCTGCTGTTCACATTCATATACACTTTTTGGGATAATTTAATAAAAATGAACACATTCGTATATATGTACATCCTGTCAGCCACACCTGCCGTCAGCGATGCCACACAACAAACGACTTCCCAAGTTGCTCATCTAACTATTGACACTGCTATATATATATAGATTTACACATACATATGGATGTAAAACATAGTAGGTGGAGACAAGCAAATGATATAGGGCGATTCCACCGTCGCGGGTGGGACATCTGAACAGAGAAAATTGTTCTTTCTTATTTAAATTTAAATATAAAGTACTAAACAATTCCACATTTTGATAAAGCTACACCTAATTGACTATTATATGAGTTATTACAAAATACGAGAAAAATGCCAGCTTACTTTTATGTGGAAAAAACCTGAGTTATTTCTTCTGTCACGGGTGCTTTTGGGAGCAGATATATTTTACGAAAACTCTGCGAATTTATTTCACTTTTCTGTGTGAGCTTGATGTCTTATAATAAAACAAAGAACCACGAATGCAAACAAAGCAAAAACTACAAAAACAAGGATGGCTTTATTTTAAAAAAATCCAAAATTCCTCTGTCACGGGTGGGACAACATTTGTCACGGGTGGGACGCGTACGAATTTTTATATGAAAAGGAGCCTTTAGTGTGGTCTATATTAAAGATTAGTTATTAAAGAATATAAGAAGCCAAGTAGGGGTTCAATTCACCCACGTTTTATCTTAGTATAGTGCCTTTTATATACATAGAAGAAAAAGCTTAGCACCGTCAGCCAAAAAATTTTTTAAAAATCAACGGGATCTCCTAGCGTTTTGAAATTTTCACTTTTTCGTACTTAAATTTAATACGCTATAAAACTACATACCTAGAATTTTTCTAAAAATTAAAAAAAAAAGTTTAAAATTTTTGGGTGTAACTGTTAAAATTTGTTGAAATTTATAATTTTTGTATATACGTAGTTTAAAATGTGGATTTATGTGGTTCTGGTTATGTAATGTGCTAGACTTTTATAAAAAACTACTATGAACATTAGATTAACAAAATAAAAAAAAACAAAACTAGTCCAAAATGTCACTTAACTTAAGCAGCTGACCACCAGCGAGTATAGGAAATGGGCGAGTCCGCGCTTCCGCCCTTCTCCCCTGTGTCCACCTCAACAAACAAATAAAGCTTATCAGCCCTGTAAACGCACATTTGTCAATTTTATAAAGAAAAAATTTTGTGCTCTGAGGTTCAGTTCCCATGGAACCTCCCTATAGTAACCATCCGGTACATCTTAATCGCAAAGTAGTGCACACAATCGGTGGCATTTACATAATTGAAAGAGACATGCGACAACGACAAGGACATGTCAAGCATACGCTTACATTTCGGAAGTAGTGTTATTGGATAGGTTTCACTAAGTGGTAAATCACTTGCATGCGTACTTAGTTCAAATAGCAAAGGGCAAATATTTGCTGTAAAAGGATATGCAAGTTCACGATTTAAGGCATTGGGCGGACACATCAAAGGACTGAGGTGGCTTTTTTCAACAAATTGTAAAGCTTTGAATTTGAAAACAGCCTTTAAATGGTATATCGAATGGCATGCAACTTGAAAACTCATTGACATAAATACATGCATAACATAATAAAACTTTAGCTACTTACATATGATATCATTGGAATGTTACGACTTTGTGATACAATAGCCTCCACATAGCAATGACCCTCTGGACCGAATATCGTCACAATGCCATCGCATATCATTTCGGTAATGGCTTTGGTAGCAGTCACCGTGTCACCTTTTGTGTCATTCCAGCGTAGCTGCAACTTAACATTTGGCAGCAAATTTTCATCATCGTTGATCTGTAAAGAGAACGTTGAAGAAATGCGCTAGTATTAAATACTATGATGAATGTAAAAAAACAGGTATAATTTTGCCTACCTCATCTAAAGCCATCGTGAGTGCACCTGAAATGGCCAGACCCTGCTTGTCCATTAGTTCACCGGTAATGGCTGTTAGATAGCCAACATTGAGTATTGTTCTATTTTGTTCGTCGTGCAGCGCTATGACACCCGGCACACAGAATACTGCCACCGAGAGCAATAATAAATAATGAAAGGGCCAACGCGTCATGGCCCCTTAGGCCGGGGCCGATCAGCGCGACACCTATGAGGAGGAATTTTTTTTCTGAAAATAAAAGAAAATAGAACATGAAATATTTATTTATTTATAACATTAAATTAATGACTAAAACAAAGTTGTAATCAAAACCATAAATTGACGAATTTCAGAGCATTGACTGCTAAGGCCTTCAGCTCTACTTAAAAAAAAAAAAAAAACATTATATTAGTTAAATTAGTTAAAAGGACATTTATGAAATAATTAGGTTTCACAAAGATGAATAGGTTTAAGGTTGCTTCTTTATCTTTAAAGTTAAAGGTTGCTTGAGAAAATGGCCCTTAATCTCTTTTAAGTTTTGCGAAGTATCGTCGATAAAATAAACTTTTACTACTTATACAAATTCTTAGCGAAACCAATGAAGTGAGAAAGCAACATTATTGTCACTTAACACAGCTTAGGTAACTGAGCTTAAGTACTCGCTATGTGTTGTAATTTCAAACGTATAATGGCTTTATTATCACTTGCGTCGTGCATACAAACACACATACATACATATCGCACGTTTACCAGTATAGTGGTGTAACTCAAAATTTACGTTTTTGGAGATTTTATTATGCAATTAATAAGCTTGATAAGGATTGGACGGTGAGATTCGGGTTCAATGACGCAACCATTCGAATCTACCGCAGCGACGAGCCGAGCTTGGACCTTAGTGAGGAGAGCGACAAGTCCGGCCTGCGCAGCGGTGGTGAAGAAGGGTTGCCCAGCAGCCAATGCTCATCTGACTCGGAGAGGCTATCCGGATTGGGGCCATTATTTTATGAAGAAGACCTCCTCGCCGATGACACCGAGGGTGAGGAGATCGAAGAGGCGGACGTGGATGTCACGATGGTGGAGGTAANCGTCGAATACTTCGTTATATTATTAAACGTGCGATATGTACATACATATGTAGTATGGGGAAGAGCTTAGAACACAGCAGCATAGCTCAAATTTAAATAAACAGAAAGGTGCACAAAGCCAAAATATCTACGGAGTAATTATTTAGTAAGATTCCACCACAATGTACTACTATATGTAGCAGAGTAGTAGTCGGTGCAATGGGAGCGTGAGTGAGTTGTTGTTGTTGTTGTTGTTGTTATTAAGTAGCATTTGATTCAATCAATAATTATCCGCAATGTGACAGCACAGCTGCGGCCGTCATGTGAACTAATTTTCAAAACTTGAACGCTTTGAAGCACAAAAATATGGAAAATCACATTCCCTTAAGTACTAAATAAAAAGGTGTGAAATTAAAAAAAAAAATATTTACTACTATTATCATGTTGAATTTGTAAAAAGATTCAATTGTCGGCAAAAAGTGCAGAGTACATATAACAAATTAATTTAGTTTGTAAATTTATTAAATGGCAGCCTTTTTAAGTGATTTTCAATTAATATTATTGCTAAAGTGCCATTTCAATTAATTTGTAACTGCTACGATTGATTTTTTGTCAATTAAGTAGCATTGTGCAGCGAAACACCGATTATCCAATTAGTTCGAATAATTTACTTTGTGATTGCGACGTAAACGGGTACTATGCGATGTGAGTAAATATGCCTGAACAAAACTAATTACAAGCATATTGATTACAAAAGATTCTCGGAAATGCAGAAATGTAAATAATGTTTTCATTTCTACCAAAAAATTTCACCTTTTGATTGCCCTTTTCTCTTTTCGTGTTCGATACTAAAACAAAGACAAACTGTGAGAAAGTTGTGTGGTAGTTTCCTAAAATGTAGCACTCTTGTAAGGCAAAAAAGGCATATTCTCCGCATGGCGCAATAAACAGGTGAAGTAATAAAACAGCTTTCTCGCTTTATTTTCTGGCATTGGGCTGCCTTATAGTCAAATTTTAAATGCAATTTTTTAGATAAGGCAGTGTTAAAATCCTACTTCTCGCTCTAATTACTACACCTGGTATAATTCCGCTATGTATTCTCTGCGCTTTGGAGCTTTGTCAGGGGAGACTGTTGCCCTGAAAACCAAATGGTTGCTTGAAATAACAATATTATGAAACGCATGAGATAGACAAGGTAAGTAGGTAGGGAGGCAAAACCATGCCCTCTTACAGGGTTGGGTGTAACATCAAACAAATTTTGCACTGTGGAAGGGTAACATTTTTTGAAAGAAACGAATCACCATAAGCAAAAATGTAATTTTTGGCTCACACCAGTTTATCATTTGCCAATGCTGAAACAAGAGCGATGTCAAGTCGGATCATAAAGTATGATATATCGATGTTCTTGTATTTTTTTTGCTTTAAATTTAATTTACCTAAGTACTCCGTTCAAGTAGATACCCACCAGATCTAAGTTCGAATCACCCCAATGTAAGATTCAAACGACAGTAAATTAAAGCTCACGAAAAATGGTTGAACTTTTGTCTAATATTACATTCCCACTGCACTGAAATCTGAGAATTCGAACTCGAAATCATAAAATCCTGTTAAAGTGTTTCCGCCGCACTTTCTTTGAATTTCGTTGACATTTGCTAATACGATGTTTCCACGGTTCGTAATTCGCTAAGTGGTTCGTGAATTACCCTGCTTCCACGACACACACTAGTAATTCGTTTGGCAGCTCTAGTTCTTGATCTTTTTCTTCGCTGTTTATTATTACTAGTGTTCGCCCAGCGGTTGAAATTCAACCGATAAAATTAAGGATAGTTTATGTAAGTTGAATGAGCTAAAATAACATTAGTTGGAATGGGTTAAGTGGAGGGGAGTTTAGCTTAGTACTTGGCATAACATAACATAACCATAACATAAGAATAAATAACATAACATATGAAGCATAACACACCACAATATAACATCGCACACTCTTCAGTTGTATTTCCTTTTTATCCCTTTTTTCACCTCTATCTAAATCTTATTTATTTTGGTTCATTTTATGCCAAATGATGTTGCCTTTGATGCCACATCAAGTGATATCATGTCATGTGGTGAAATTGGGTGTGGTGAGCTGCGGNATACGAACCCTGGTGCAAATATCGAAGATGGAGCTAAAATTTAAGTTATTATCAACAATTTTAATTTATATAGAGAATATTTTATAAATGTTATTCTATAACTAGGAAAGGTGCCAGAAAATGTGACCAGGTCAGTGAAAACTTCGATATATTTCAGATAAATATTAGAGAAGACACCGATTCGTTCGTCATTCGCATGGTAATTCGATCTGAATTACCCACAAATGAGGTAATTCGCTCTCAAAATTTTGTATGGCGAATAACGTAATTCGGAAGGTAATTGGCAAGGCGAATGACGAATGGAAGAGCGAATTACGAATGAAAGAGCGAATTACGAATGGTAGAAACGCCGTATAATATGATTTTGTGTTTATGTACTTTTCTTTATGTAGAGTTTTGACATTTCACGTGAAGCAGTCTGCAGGGCTGAACATTTTAGTAGGTTTGTCCATTTTAATAAAAGTGAGGATTTCGATAGGATTTCGTTGAAATCTGATTAAATCTAAATAGGAAATCGAAATCATGAAAATGTATGGGAAATCCTACTGGATTTCAAAAGATTTCGCGAAATCTCAGATTTCAGTGCAGTGGGAATGTACTATAAAGGTAAAAAATGGCGCTTACGATATTTTTCCTGAACACGCTGAGAGGTAGGTTATCAAAGAATTGGCGTTTGCGATACTTTTTATGTTGTATGATCTAGATATTTATAAAGGAAGGAATGCGGTTGCTTTAGGGATTGTTCGAAAAAACTGAATATTAAGTCAATTAAATATAAACAATGCTAATCAGCAGAATAAACTCAACATATTTTCAGCTTTAACTGTCTGGTGCTTCTACTAGATTGTTTCACACTGAAAATAAAACTTCGTAAAAGTACTTTCGTAGTTTTGGTTTTTGTACTATGTACGAAACTTTCGTTTATAATACGAACACATTTTTCACAACGAAACAAAGTTTTTCGAACCATTCGTAAATATAACCAAAGTTTTTTCGAAAGGCATTTCTTCAGTACAATTTACGAAATCTTAAGTTTACTTTGCGAAACACATACACTGCCGGAACAAAGTATGTGTTGACACAGCAAATTGCACTTAATTTTAATGATATTAAGGTAAAGATCTATATGTATGTAGAAGTAATCAGAAATGCGATTAACCTGTATCAAGTACAGTTACAAAATTTAAGTGGTAGTTTAGCTTTTCTTAACAGCACTCAAGCTGTTCGGTATTCATAAAGGTTTTAAAACCCTGAGCCATTAACTGTCTAATTAAAATCTTCAGAACAATTAGTTCAGACTAACGTTCGAGGGTAACCACTGCGTTTTAAGTTTATGCTTTCATTCCTACTTCAGCGATATAATTTATAATCGGTCGGAAGCACCCTTAATAGATAACGAATATGCAGCACCTGATTGGGACTCAACACAATAGCAGGGCAATGGTAGAAATGTTTCGAAAAGGGAGCATGCTTAGGCATTCTACTCATAAATAAAAATAAATAAAGGTCAGATCGTCAGTTAAAGCGATTTAAGCATGTGGTGACTGATCAGTTCTTATTAGCAACATCCCTGAGGGAGCGAATATGTAATTTTGCGCTGATCCCCAGCCAGTGTTGAACAGAGCTTGCACGCAAGCGAAAGCTCTTCAGCACAAAATCGCTTATTCCAAATCCGAGCCATTTACCAGTATGGAATAAAAAACAATTAGCACTGCGGCTATGGAAAATTTTATTGTTAGCTTTTACTGCAGGTTAGTTTAGATAAAGATGCGAAGCCATTTACACAACATTTGCATTTTTCCGATTTTCATTTTCTACTTTAAAACAAACATTTTGCACCAGACAATTTTCTATTTTCGCTGCGGGCGGGTGTAATTAGAGACAACGGCAAGTATTTATGGACGTCAACGATGTTTGATGCTAATCACCTCTATGCGCAACTTCATTTCTTTTGCATTTTCTTCGCCGGTGTTGCACTTTTCACGTGGTGGGATATTTCGCTTTTGTCCGACTTCTCGGGCGTGGGCAATCCCGATGGATCGGGTAGAAGAAATGACACTTCATATATACTCGGTTGACTGGAGTAAACCTCGTTATTCATATTCACAAACCAGTTCATCATATCGAACAAATCGCGAAAGCTGCATTGCGCCACCACCGCACCTGCGTCGCGTCCATGCTGATGCGAATCGAAGAAGGTGATAATATTGGCCGGAAATTCGATAACAAACAGCACAGTTCGATTGTCGGAAATCATAGCGGCGAAAAGAAAATGCTCATTGACTTTGCCCGCCCGCCTAAATAGCTGCACACCATTATTTAGAGCCTGCATTAGCCGCAAAGCAATCGTGCGGCCAGTCTCACGCTCCGGATCAGCTTGCATGTGTGTGAAGAACCACTCCTTGAGGCGAAACTGCGGCTGGCTCTTCAACACATTCAAGGCGTCCGGTATGTTCAGATTTTGATTGCTCGACGACGGCAAAGGGACGGCGCTATCATGTCCCGCATGCCCGGTGATGAGATGTGCGTAGGCGCTGTTGCCTTTGTTGATTGCTGCGGCGAAGATGTCGACAGTACGCGGCGGCAGGTCCTGCATGCTTTGGCAATAGAATCCACGTCCCCCTTTCGCGACCATATTGGCCAGGATGAGCGTGATTAGAGTACACGAATTGGTGCCACTGTGATGGTATTCGCCGTAGCGCGACTGACTGAACTCTTTGGGGAACCACCAGATGTTCAGGTTACCATTGCGCTCGAGGACCGCCATGACAAGAGCACACGCACAGAACTCGATAGTATGGCCGTGAATTTCTTGCCGAGATGCACAGACAACAAACACTTTTTTACATTCTAAACGGGCAGAAGTCGAGGTACTGCGCGCCGATAGCCGGAATTTTTACACACCTTATCCGCAATTTTTTTGGAATTTTATGCAGTTTTCGGTTTTTTTTTATACTAAAATTTCGTGTTATAAAGAAAAGAAATTTTTGATAATTGAGGGGAGAAATATTTGATAGAAAATTTTTTATTGAAAAAGTGAAGGTTCAAATGAGTGGCACACGCATGTCGAAAAATTATTAAAAATGAAAGGATGCGGACGAATGTAGAGCTAAGGTATGGGTGTTATTTGGGAATATTTATGTTACTCCATTGCACTTCCTCATGTGGCTTTGCTAGTCATAGCTAGTGAATAGAAGAAAACTGTGCAAAAATTTTAGAATTCATGATTTCTTTGAGGCCCTCATGGCCTCATATACGAAATGCTAGTAAAATAATTTTTTGTGTAAATATCAAGGAAAAATGGGAAATATTGGAGAGTGGAGGAGGATTTAAGGTACCTCATTTCGTCGCTTTTCGAGCAATACCACGTACACAGACAGAAAAAATTTATTTTGGTTATCTCTCAGTGCTCGTCTACGTCTCAAAATTAATGGCTGATTTTGTGTAAGGGTTTCGCCAAGGCGAATTAATATAAGGTGATAGCACGAGTACAAAAACAAAAATTTAAATGTATTTTGTTTTTGCTTTAGCGGCATAAACTGTCAAAATTTGTAAGAGTGTGTGTAGAAATTCAAACAAAATTTTTCAATTTGATATCAGAAGCCGTGCGGCGAAACACATACACAAAATCAGCTAAGCTAGTAACACCACCTTATATAAATTCGCCTTGGCTGATTTAGTGTATGGGTTTCGCACTCCGGCTTCTTGTGTCAAATTGAAAAATTTTGTTTTCCTTTCCACACACACTTTTACAGATTTTGACATTTAACTTGAAATCCATCATATTAATCGAAAAGTAAATTTTGAATTTTTTATTAGTTAAAACTTTTTGCACTTCGTCGACGATGTTTGTTACGTCTTTTTGCATTTCAGGTGACGATATGTATGTGCTACTTTCACAAAAGATCGAAAAATAAATGTCAAATAAATATTATGTTTCATGGCTAATAAATCTAGGATCATCCCCTAGCTTTTGTNGCTACTTTCACAAAAGATCGAAAAATAAATGTCAAATAAATATTATGTTTCATGGCTAATAAATCTAGGATCATCCCCTAGCTTTTGTGGAAAAATATCCAAATTATTTTCACAATTTTCTTAGCACACTTTGTATGATTATCTAGAAAATTGCTCAGCAAATTTCTTGGTTTTAGCCGTCCAAATGCAGGAGTTTTAAAGCAAAACCTCACATCTGAGTAATCAGTTGTATGCAGTTGTAGGTTATAGGCACCCGAGCTTTGTCATTTTCCTGTACACCTTTTAATGTTCCTAGCAGCAAGAATTGAGGAACTATAAGAAAACATCTCATATCTGAACAATTAGTTGTATGTGAGCCGGTTCCGATGAATGTTTAACAACTTTATAAAAATACACTCACTTACTCAATCGGATATCTCGAAAACTGAGGACCCAGATCGCATTCTAACAAACAGATAGACAGACATGGCTCAATCGACTCAGCTCGACGTGCTGAACATTGTAGTATACATTTGCATGGGTCTATCTCTTCTTCTTCTAGTGCTTACGAGCATCGGACTAAAGTTATTTCGTGATCATAAAAGATCATAAAAACGCTTCAACATTCTTAGTTGTTCGTTGTTCTCCCCTGATCAGTTTTCAGTTACAATTTCAAGTATTTTCAGTTATAAATTATATTT